GATGGAAGTTCCTCATGATGTATGTGAAACAAGGTCTAAAATGTCCATTGAACATAGAACACTCAGGAGATAAAACTTTTCACTGGGCAGAGAAGTTGGTCTCAGTTGATGTAGTTATTATTCAATCCCCAAACCCCCTGAGGAAAAACATAGTTAAATTTTTAAGGTTTTCAGAAGTGGAGACTGAAGTCAGAAAAGCGGGGCTCCTTTCCCAGTACCACTTAACTACCAGACCTGAGTTTCCTTCTCCTGAATGCAGGGATTGTAGACTTATCTACCATGTCTATCTCACATGATTATTGTGAGGCCTAACTGTAATAAAAAAACATTTGCAAAAGCAAGATGTTCTAAACAGAATAAGGCATCATTATTAAAATCAATGAAACATGCTACCATGAATTACATTAATATATTTGCCCCAAACAAACATGCAATAATAACTATTGCACATGCATAATGAGATCAAAAACCTTTTGCTTTTTTATTTCATTAATGAGATATAAAAACTATTTTTTTCCATAAAATATCCTTATTTTGCATCCTATTCTCCATTTTTTTACATCCAGGGCAGCTGGATGTACATGTCCAGGTGGAACATGGAAGCCACATAATGAAAACGGCAGACCATTCATCAGTATGAGTTCTTGAGTAACTGTATAAACCAGATGATCCCAACTCTATATCCAACAACAGGAAATGCCTTGGGATGTGAGAGGGAAAAAAAAAAAAATACTGTGCTGAGCCCCTGAAACCTGGGCTTTTTTATAAGCTGGCATTGATTTGAGTTTCAGAGACACTCTCCTTGAGCCAAAGACTATTTGCAGAACAATTTCTCAATGTCCATGAATTCAATTACAAGTCCAAAGGAGGACTAGGCATTCCCAATATTCCCATTTCTCTTCCAGAGGCCACAGCTGTATACCGAGGACTTTCTCTTCATTCTTGATATTTTTTTCATTAAGTCATTGAATATAGATTTTAAAATTTACACTAATAAAAATAAAATATGCAAATTGACTGTACCTCCATGAAGCAAATAAGCCAATTGGGAGTGAGTATGCAAATTAGCACAAACATGGTGGGTTAATTTGCATATGCAGGCAGGGAGCTGCTGGGCAGGGCTAACACCTGTATGAGAGGGAGTGTGGAGGGGGGGAGGGGCTTTGGAGGGAGCTATAGGAGTGGCACTCTGGCCAGAATGAAGAAGACTGAAGGCTCCATCCGGAGCAAAGATGGGATGGGGTGGCCAGAACGAAGGCCTGGGTCCCAAGTGCCAGAGGAAAACTGATGCTGGCAGCCAGGGGAAGGAAGGCCTTACATGAATCTTCCTGAAATGGGCATCTAGTACTTATTATAAGCTCTTCATCATTAATAATTCCTTACTCATTTTATACACCAAAAAGGTCATTTATAATGTTAACTATTAATATTTGAAGAAATAAACATCAGAAATAATATAACAAACCAACAGGGAGCTCATTATTAAATATAGTTTATTCATCCTATGAACTATTAAGTAACCATGAAAATAGAAATTATTATACTTATATAGTAAAATGAAAAAAGTAAAATATAAAACAATCTTGAGATGTGCATATAAAAAAATACTAGAAACAAAGTCAGGGTATAATAGTATATGTAATGAGAGTGACTTGATTTATAGGTATTTTTCTCTATAAATATTTTTGTACTATCTTTTTGTATAATTAAAATTTCTTTCTAAGCATTATATTACAGGTATTTTAAGAAAATTATAGATAACATTTAAAATCACATTTTGGTCTAGGGTAAAAAAGGTGCTGTGAGACTTTGGATTCTAATGTATAATATGAACACTAGCAAGATTCCCAATAGAGAGATTCACAGGTAAGATGGGTTTGGACGGTGTCAAGAGGACAAGAAAAGCTGGGAAAAGGTAAGGGTGAACACTGGCACATGGTCTGAAAGGGAAAGACACTTTGCAGTGGCCTGTTCAGGTTCAAAACATGAGACCAATACATTTGTAGGACAACAGAGAGGGCGATAAGGCACATGGGAATTACAAAAATCAGAATAAATACAGATGAAGAATTTTCCCAGAAGCAGAATGATGGAAGTAGGTGAGCATCTAAAAGATTAAGAGATCAGAAAAGAACTAGGATGTTCACAGGAACCCAGTGACCAGAAAAGCAATTTAGGAAAGGAATGCAAAGCACTAGTTCACAGCTCAGAGATTTTAAAACACAGAGGCAGGGAACTGTCCCAGGGCAGTTATTCTGGCATTGTAATGGGGAACTAATGGCTGAATTAAGGAGGTCTTTAGGGCTGGCACACGTAGTAGCTTCCTTTAAGCCAACAATTTTCAACAGGTGTGCTATGGCACATTGGTATGCCACAGAATTTTGTAAAACATGCAATACTTGACTATTTAGTCAGCAGCCCTAACATCTTTTCCTTTAGATCGTTAAAAAAAAAAAAAAGACAACAGCCAACACAACAACAATACAATAATAGCAATAGCAATCAGGTTGAATAAATCAAAATTATAACTTTTTTTTTGTCAGATCAACAAAAATATATTTATATATTTTTTGGTGTGCTGCAGAATTTAGTAATTAGTTTATGTGTGCCATGCAATGAAAAAGGTTGAAAATTGCTGCTTTAAGCAAATAACCAAAAGTTCTTGCATTCCACATTCACTGAGAAGAAGATTCAGAGGTGGGCTTTAATCTAATTACCATGTTCCCAGAAACATATTTCCTACCATGTGCTAGGAACTTCATAGGTGTTATTTCATTTACCCTCCAAAGGGCCCTAAGAATGGGTGGGTATTGTGATGGTCACTTTACATAGAAGACAACTGAGGATCAGATCAGTTTACCAATTTGTTCAAAGTCAATAAATAGCAAGGTACAGAGCCACATCTGCAATTGCTTCTCTCTCTCTTTAATTCTTACATGTGTTCAAGGTTACCATACTATCTTCTCTCTTGATATCCTACATAATAAAAGGCTAATACACAAATAGACTGAATGGCAGAATAACCAAACAACCGGTCACTATGACATGCACTGACCACCAGGGTGTGTGTGTGGAACATGTCAGGCATTGGCCACAGTAGGTTGGTAGAGCAGGTGAGAGGGGAGCCAAAACAATGTGGGGCACTGGTAACTGTTATCAGGGTAAGCCTCTGGTAATTACTAAAAATTCTTTCCTTTTGTGCTCCATGATCCTGCCTGACACTTGCACCTGCTGCCCGCACTGGCCTTGCTTGCACCTGCAACCAGCACTGGAGCCACCACTCATACCCACTACTGGTGCCCAGAGCTAGTCCTGACCACTCAGCACCATTAGTAGGTGCAAGCTGGCCTTGATTGCCCCTGAGAGCTTCTCCACCTCCCCGTACTCCTGAGGGGTGATCAGGGCAGCAGCTGCTACTTGCACCTGCTGTTAGCATCAGCCCCACTCGCACCTGTTGCAGGTGCCAGCCCCCATCACTCCATACCTTCAGCAGGTGCCAGTGGGGCTAGTGCCATTAGCGCATTGGAACAGCAGCAGCTGGAGTAGAGTTGCCGACCTACAGGGGACAGGAGGCCCTGGCAGGAGGGGCTGGATAAGTGAAGATTGGCCAAGCCCTGCCCCTGTGCCTACAACAGCCTCACGAGCCACTGTTCCTTTTAAGGTACATGAATTTGTGCACTGGGTCCCTAGTCTATATGTATAAAAGCCCAGTGATCAGAATGGCGGAACAAAAAGAATGACCGGACTGACTGGTGGCTATTGTTAGGGCACTATGACAGCCAACCAGCCTGATCCAGGACGCCATCAGCCTGCACCCTGGCCAGTCCAGCCCTCAATTGGCCCCCCAAAACCCCAATCAGGGGTGTGGCTGACCAGCCAACTGCCTGTGGTCCCTCCCCTCCCCAGTGGCCTGGCCCAATGGGCCCCTTCCAGAGTAGGCCTGCCGGACCCCACTCATGCACGAATTCATGCACCAGGCCTCAAGTATAACAATAAGAAGACAACCATCAAAATTTTCAAGCCATTTATGCTTATATTGCCAATATACACATAACTACAATATATGTGTGTGTGTATGTGTGTGTGTGTCTAAAATTATATAGACATATATATGCTTTCCTTAAGAACATGTCACTTTAACCCTATGCATTCCAGTAGATTTTTCTTTTCTTTTTCTTTTTTTTCATATTAGAAGACTCATGTTAATGTCAAGGTAAAGGGATTTACTATTAGTAGCTATGAGAAAAAGAAAATTTTAGACAATCTTTCCCAAGTCAGTTTCAAGCTGCAGCTCTTAACCACATTGTTTGTGGCTCTAATATATTTGGGTTAATAATAATCACAATTTATTGGTTATTCCATGGAGTATAATTGCCAATGAGAAGAGTGCGTATATTATGGCTCATTCTGTGGTACAGGACTATAAAGAACATTGCTGCCACATGGCTACAATTCTCCAACAGTCATAAAGATAATTAAAATAAAATATTGATCTTCATTTTTATGTCTCCATTAACTATTTTTCAGTTGGTATGGAAGTAGCAGAAGAACCTTTATTACCCTCTAAAATTCCTAATTAAAATTTGAATGAAAATTAACATTTATATAACTTCCTGACAATGGGTCCTTTCCATGTTCTTATAATGAAATAATTAGAAACCCACTATTCTAACAAATATTTTCTACTCAGCAATATATTTTATGATAAGGATACAGGCAGGTAATTCCTAAGAACCTGAATGGTTATTTTTTAAGGCCATTCTCAGGCAAATAGTAATTGATGTCACTGTATTCTCTGATAATCTTCTCTTTTCCAAAGCAAGAAGCATCTCAAATATAATCTTAAAAATATAACCTTACTTTTTCTGGCAAATAATGCTGGTTAACATTTGGAATTATGCTTACAAATCAAGAGGAAAGAAATGGCAAATATTTGGCTACATGAGCTATAAGGTATTTGAGTACTGGTACATAAAAGTACTAAGTACAAATAGTTGTACTTGTCTTTTAGATAATTCTCGGTTTCACCCTATATAGTTTTCTAAAACTCTAATTTTCCACAATTCCAAATTAATTGTGTTTCCAGAAAAACATATTGAATTACTTCTTTGTTCTATAAAATTAAAAGTAAAAAGGTCCGTTGGGGCTCAATTCCTTTTATAGTTTTGGAGTTTTTCATCATATGCTTCTTAAACCTATTTTTTCCCCCATTTTCATGTCCAATATCAGACCATCCTTAAACCAACTCATTTTTTTTTTCAGACAAATGTGATAAAGTTAAATAAAGTTGAGTTGGATAAAGTGACTAAGAAAATTAGGTACAATATATAGCATGGTGTTATTTTTTGTTGTTGATCCTCACCCAGAGATATTTTTCCACTGATTTTTAGGGAGAGTGGACTAGAGAGGAAAAGACAGAGAGAGAGAAACATCAATGTGAGAGAAACACATGGATTAGTTGCCTTCTGCAGGAGCCCCAACCAAGGTACGTGTCCTTGACTGGATTCAAATCCAGGGCCCTTTGATCCACAGCATGACGTTCTATCTGTTGAGCCAAACTAGCTAGGGCAGAGTATAGTATTCTTTATTCAAATATTAATTGTGAGTTTTAGAGTATTAATTATACATACTTGAGTTATAGTACTAATAACAACAAAATATAATGATTCTCACCATGTGTTAGTCACTGTGCTGTGTTTTACTAGACTACAATCATGCAATTCTCAAAACAACAACATTAAAGAAATTCTTCTTCTTCTTCTTTCTTTACATTAAGGAAACTAAGATATAGAGATATGAGGAAAATTACCAAAGGTCACACAGATAGTAAAGTAGCTAGACTATTAACTATGCTTAACACACTGAGCTCTAATACTATGCTCAATGTGCATATGATGAGTTGTGCTTAAAATCGTGATAAATTCTAAACCTGCCATATTTATAGTGTCATTTGCAATATGAATGACTATTCAGTACTCTACAAAAATCATGGGTTGTTCCCTTCAAATTCAGATCACAAACCTCCAACAATGACAAAGGGCCACAGAATACCCAGGTCATTTAGGTTTTCATAAAGTTGAATGAACAGTGGCCCTTTGAGGGGCAGAACTCTGTTGACTGATGAATATAAAGCAAAGGGAGTATAACTGCCAATGAAAAGACTGTACATACAGATTGTCTCCATGAAAACATGCCTATTATCATAAGAAAACAGATGTTTTCTAAATTAATATGATTTATTTTGCCTTGAGAGAGATGTCCTTCAGTAGTTGCTAGGTAACACATTTAAATTCAAAACCAACTTAATTACTGACTAGGAATCTTTTTCTTAATTATGTATTTTGGTAAAACAGGGGGTTCAGAAGTAAGGCACAAAGCAATGACTTAATTTGACATGATATACTCCTGCAATTCCCATTTCCACTTACACAGAGTTGCAATAGTACTGTATGAGCATTTTTAGAAGTTAAGCTGGACCCCAAGCTTATATAGTTCTAAACATAATAATCCAGGTATGTTTACTTTATTTGGCATGACCAATGTTTCAACTCATGTGGATGCCTGGTCAAGATTTAGCTTGATGCTAAAAAGCTCTCTACCATGGTTGGACCCTCTCTCAGACTAATCCAAGATTCATCGACTACTCTCCACATACCCATTTCTTTTTGCCCATTGGCACACAATATTTGTTCTGTTTGATATCCTTCTGTGATATACAAACTCACTTCAAACCTAAGCATCTCTCCCTTCTTCAATCACTACAGATTCCAATTCTTCCTCTCTCTTGTCTTTGAAAATATTCTCTTACAGTTCCTCAAACCTGCTCTCTGATTCTTTCTTTATGCTTCCTGGAATGTATCACCTGGTCAGTTGCATATATTTTTTGTGGTGGTTGTGATAATGGTCACAACTGTCCACTCTTCCTATCATAATACGGAATCTGTCTGTCTAACTTTCCTATGTGACCTGGAAAAACACTATGACTCTTGCCTGCACGCTGCTCTTGGAGCTCCAAGCATCCATGTGAACAAGCCCGACTAGTCTGTTAGATGGGGCAAGGCTATATGGTGAGAATCATCCCAGCTTTATCAAATGAGGCCATCATACACCAGATTACCGAGAGCCATGCAACCCTCGGGAACACTCAGAGCTGACAAGCTGCTCCCACAAACATGGGTGGGCCCATAAAGCAGAGACGAGCTGCCCTAATGAGCCAACCCACAGAGTTGTGAACCAAAGAAATGGTTGTTGTTTCACAATATGGAGTTTGGGGTTGTTTTTGTAGCATAAGCTACTGGACACATTTTAAAATAACTTAAAATAGGTTGGGATGTCCTAACAAAATCATAGCTCTGGACTAGCTGGCATCAAAGGTACTCAGTATAGAGTAATCATACTCAGTCAAATGATTTCTTTTTGTGGATTCCTGGCTAACAGAATAGAGATAAAATAAGCAAGCTAATACAGTTCCTAAAAGAAAATAGCCTTGACCATGGAAACTTGCCCAAGGGAAAGACCACAAAGTGGTGTTGCCCATATTTCAAGGTGAAAGAGTTCTAATAATGCCATCAACAGAATCCCTAGGATCCAAAGAGAGAAAAGAGAACTATCACAATTGTCCTTGCCATACAGAAGGACAGATGGCAGAATACTGATCTTTGGGTAGAAATGTAAGTGCTAAGGGTTGATTTTGATTAGTTCAATGTGGACTTTCTATAGTTTGCTAATCCTCCTATTAGAAAACAATGCTGCTGATTCTGTGCAGGTGAAAGTTTTCTTAAATGTCATTACATTTCCTAAATGCTATTTCCCCTTTAAGAATATAAACTATCTGCTGAAATCGGTTTGGCTCAGTGGATAGAGCATTGGTCTGCGGACTGAAAGGTCCCAGGTTCGATTCCAGTCAAGGGCATGTATATTGATTGCAGGCACATCCCCGGTAGTGGGTGTGGAGGAGACAGCTGGTTGATGTTTCTCTCTCATCAACATGTCTAGCTCTCTATCCCTCTCCTTTTCTCTCTGTGGAAAGTCAATAATATATATATTTTAAAAAGAATATAAACTGTCAACCCAAAGGATCTCCTGGGCCACTGCCTTTGGATATAAGAAGTCACTATATCAGGAAGACAGAACACATTCCAGGTATCTGGCATTTGAAAAACTGTTTATTTTTGACCATTGATTTAAATGATGGAACAGCCATGAAAACAAACAGGAAAGTTTAACCCAGATTTTAGCAAGAGCATGAAGCCATCACTGTCACCTCTGTGGCAGGGAGGAAAGGGGGTGTGATATGGCTGAGTTCTCAAAACTGGACTGAAGAGATGGGAGGTACTAGTTGTACTAGTTAACAATGAGAATTTTTTTCAATAGATGGAGTTACATGTATGTTGATATATATTCAATTTGCTATGCATGCTATTTTGTTTTATTGACAACAAGCTTCAAAACTTCATATGTCAAATTTTCTGAAGGTGTTAACATCATAGATATTTTTACGCTTAAAAATGTTGCATTTTGTGCCCCCTAACACAGCAGTTGTGAGAAGTTTTAATTTATTACTTTTTTTGAAGAAAAGTGCTGCTAAATACTTCAGGAAGCTTATGGTGAATGTGCTCTATAAAGATAGTTGTAAACACTGGCTTAAATGCTTTAAAAGTGATGATTTTGATGTGAAAGCCAATGAACATCCAGGTCAACTTAAAAAAATTTGAAGACGAACAATTACAAGCATTATTGGATGAAGATGTGTGTCAAACTAAAAAACAACTTGCAGAAAGATTACACATCACTTAGCAAACAATTTCCAATTGTTTACAAGCAATGGAAAAATTTTAAAAGAAGGAAAATGGATGCCACATCAACTGCAAATGAAAGACAAATGAAAAACCGAAAAGTCATCAGTAAAATGTTGCTTCGATGGCATTAAAGTATTCTTTGCATTGAATTGTGGTGATGAAAGATGGATTTATTTTGAGAATCCCAAATGCACAAAATCATGCGTTGATCCAAGTCAACCATCAACATGGACTGCTGGGCCAAATTGCTTTGAAAAGAAGACAATGCTCTGCATTTGGTGGGATCAGGAAGGTGTGGTGTATTAAGAGCTTCTAAAACCAGGTGAAACCATTAATACTGATTGCTACCAAAACAATTAACCAATTTGAATCATGCTTTGTTGTGAAATGACCAGAACTGGCCAGAAGACACAGCAAAGTAATTTTGCTTCATGATGGCGCACCATCACATACTTGAAAACCAGTTAAAGAAACTTTAAAAGATCTTGCCTGGGAAATATTAACCCACCCACCTTATTCACCAGCCCTTACTCCTTCAAATTACCACTTGTTCCGATGGATGGCACTCACACTTTCTGAGCAGCACTTCAAAACATACGAAGAAGTGGAAAATTGGGTCTCTGAATGGTTTGCCTCATAACAAGAAAAGTTCTATTGGGATGGTACCCACAAATTACCTGAAAGATGGTGGAAATGTGTAGCTAGCGATGGGCATTACTTTGAATAAAGCACTTTTGATATTTCTCTTGAAATCATCGTGCTTTCTTTGGATTACAAAATCCACATTATTAACCAGTTAATATTTATATAATAATATTCTGTATTATTAACCAGTTAATAGTTAATCCACACTATTAACTGGTAAATAATAATTAACTCAAATTTAAACAGTTAATAATTAATATGTACTATTAACTGGTTAATAATAATTAATCTGCATTATTAACTGGTTAATAATCCACATTATTAGCTGGTTAATTGTTAGTCCATATTATTAATTGGTTAATAATTGATCTTCATTATTAACCATGATGCAGATTTTGTGTGTGCCATCAATTAGAACATGTGGTAATCTGAAGGAGCAATACAACAAAATAGCATACATATCAAATCGCATATGTATCAACATATGTGTAACTCCATCTATTAAAAAAATCTGCACTATTAACCGGTACACCTAGTAGAACTGGCAGCATCTGAGAACACAGAGGGGTCTGCACCCACTGCATAAAATGCTGACCCAGGCCCCCAAAGCATCTACATGTTAAAATACCTTCTAACACAACAGGAAAAAATATCAGGTAGATTTTGTACTTTAGAATTTTGTTACATGTAGAAACTTTTGAAAAACCTGACTTTCCCCTATTTCAACTAATGCCCAATAGCCTTGACTCTGTTTCTAATATAATCTCTCCACCACCTGTTATCAATAGTAGGATTAATCATTCCTTCTTTGCTTCTCTACTTTTAGTTGAAAGAGGCGGATTCCCACAAGATGCAACCAGAAAGGAGCTTTGGCCTCTGGATTTATTTTTTCCTCTTCCCTTAATGAAATATTAAACCAGATGTACATGTATTTTCTAATGATTTTCAAACAACAAATAGTCCTTTAATTTCAGCATTAAAACAAAGGATATAACCTACATCTCATGTAACTCCAGTCCAGTTTCAGGGCATGGCATTCACTGTTCCCTTTGCTTATAATGTTATTCCATCACTAATTCCTTCACTTAACCATTCATTCATTCAATTAGCCATCCCATTCATGTCTCTGCTCAAACATCACCATCTCAGAGAGGCATTCCTTAATTTCTTAATAATATACTCTTTCCTTATTGCAGTTCTATCACTGTCTAAAGCCATATGTTGCTTTATTTTCTTTGAGTGCTTATCTGCACCTGATACACTTCGAATTCCTCTCCTAGTTTCTTCAACCCCCTTGTTAGCATGGAAGCTTCATGCCATTCAGCACTCTGTCTAGTTCACTGCTATATCTCCAATGGTTTGGACAAGGTCTAGCCCAGACTAAATGCTCAATAAATAATGATGAGATAAAATGAATGAATGAGGAATGAATGAGTGCACCTCTATGAAAGAAGATACTATTACAGTGCATTTGATTCTTTTTCTGAGATAAAATGATTACCTTCAGAGATCACAGAAAATTCACTCTCCTGACCCTGTGAACATTGTGCAGATATAAAATAGCAAAGATTACACAAAGAGATGCAAAGAATACACTATCCAATTGTATTACTGGATTCTGGCTGGAAGACCTTATTGTTCTTTTAAAGTGAAGAGACCCAGTGGGAAATCCCTGGCTTGCATTTCTGTTTTTGTCAAACATTCAACAGTAACTGATAATCTCTGCATCTGTTATTTATTTGACAAATCTCCAGAGGGCTGCACGAGGGGAAATTTTAGAGAAGCCCTAAACAAACTGCACAGCCAGGAAGAGTGTTTCCCCACTGCATAAATAGTAGGTTTGATTTCATCATTCACACAATGGCTACTATCAATGCATCCTCCGCATAGCATACATGTGATGTGATGATGTAGGGTGGGTCCACAATTGTATTTGAAAAAAATTGATTACATGTTGAAATTAGGCCGCTTAATTCTGGGAGGAGGCAGAAGTCAAGGAAAATGTGCAGCTGGTCAGGAAGTAAATCCAGGGTGGAGAAGTTTTTGCAGAGCTCAGGAAGAGCGGGGGGTTGGAAGGCATGAAGGGAGACACTGAGATTTTGCTAGGGAGTTTCTGAGGTTCGGACAGCTGGAATAAAAAAGATGGAATATATCTCCCTCTGAAACATATTTTACATAACTAAACTGTATGTTTTTCAGAAACCAATGAGCTGTGTATTTGGCTTGGATTCTTAAAAGCAAGTTAAATGGTCATTTTGTAAATAATATGCATGCTGCAACCCAGGCATTAAGCTTACAATGAAAATACCAGATCACAAAACTAAGAAAAAAGTACCTATGTATTTTTTTAACCCAGTAATGAGTTTTAGTTTATTATTTCGAGTTTAATGTTTGTGTTCTAAAGGATAACCTATCTGAAAATTGCTTGTTACAAGCTATTCAACATTTACTGCAACAGAATAGGCATTACCCATGGATTGTGCAAGAGAAAAAAGCAAGACATATGGTTTTTCCCATAGGGCACTAGCAAACCCTTTAAGAGAATTTAATCCATTCCATAAATTATTTTTATGGAATCCCCCAAAACAAGAGACTTCCCTTCAAGTGTGATATTTAGATGAAATCATAATCATTTATCTTACAACTTTATGACACACAAACATCTGCAGGAAAACACAAGAGAGTACCCTTGTCTATGATATCAAAGTAACTGTTAGACTCAGAGGCCAACTGAAGTACAAGTGGCATAAATCATCTGCGTATTCCACCGATATCTTATGCCTTCCTGAGCGATTGAAGGATTGATTGCTTAATGGGTGAATAGATGACTGAAGCTCCTGATAGGGAAGCAAAAGCATGATCACTTTATATGCCAATACCGCTAATAAGTATTAGTCTGCAGAAGAGATTAGATAGTTCTCTCTTGAAACAGTTTAAAAAGTTGGCATAGATACAAAATGTAAAAAATTATGGGGAGCATTAACCAGCTAAACATCTGCTGAAATTTTCATTCAATTAAAAGCAGAGCATCATAAAAGCAGAGCTGGCTTCCATAAAATGTCCTGGCTCAGAGGTGAAGGGGGCTCCTGCTCTGGTTATGATCAAGACCCCCGAAGAGTTTTTTTTTTCTTTTTCTTTTTTAAGTCAACATCCAGTGAATCTATATTATACACTAAATGTAGTGTGAGAGAAAAAAAAAAGCCTTCTGAGAAATTCAAGATCCACATCAGGCTGAAAGGGATATGTTCAATAGACAGAAAGAAGAGGAGGCACATAACTAAAAAAATCCTCAGTAAAAAGTATGAAGCACGAAATAAGCTAAGAATTGTGTAAACATTAAACAGTCTAAATATAGAACTTAAAATAAGTGAAAAGGGGTAAAAAGATTCAAGCCCTATTTTGTGTCCAGCCTCTTTAAAAATATATGTTTTTATTGATTTTAGAGAGAGGAAAGGAGAGATAAATATTGATGTGAGAGAGAAACATCAAATTGGATCTCCAACCGGGGACTGAACCCAGGGAATCGAACCAGAGACCCTTTGGTGCTTGGGATGATGCTTAACTAACTGAGCTACACTGGCCAGGGTGCTCTCAGCCCCTCAGCTGAGGATACATGGCATTGTAGTCATTCACACATATATTTCCTGAACTCAGAGTCCAGTCTTCCAAACTACAAGCTCTCTAAGTGAAACCATTCTAACTAAAGGAATCAATTAAATAAAATGACCTTAATTCTTATTGTTAAGACACATTCACTTTATAGTGGTTTATTAAATGAGGTAAATGCTACTGAACTATTTAGAATGTTCTACCCATAGCCCAGTCAGCATTGTGTGTTGACTACTACTGGATATATGCATTTGGACTTTCCTTTTGATTTTTCCTTTAGTCTAGCTAAGTGGTCTTCCTCTGGGTATAAGAATTGCTGTGTCCCTGACATAGTAATTAAAAGTATATACTGTCTATGACACATAACCATAAATAACATGCTTTGCAGTCAGTTAAGCTATTTCAGATTTTCCCCCTCTATTTTTTCATGTCATAAATTGACTTTAGACGTTACTTTAACAACACAGTGATTCAGATATAACAGTAACCTAGAAATGGAAAACATTAACAATCCTGAAATAGCTGAAGATAAAAGAGAATACAGTAAAAATTATCTAGACACTTTAAGAATAATTTAAATATTCAAGTATATTTTACATATTTATCAATGTTCTGGGAAAATGTATGTTTTGAGAACTATTCAATACAAAAATAATAATAGAATAAGAAGAATTATATATGTTTAAGAAATAGAGATTAATCTATTTGTCCAAATTGGGGAAAATGTGTATTTGCAAATCACAAGTTTGATGCTGATTTACAGAAAAATTCTAGTGTTAGTTACTTAACAATTGATTTGTGAACATTTACAAATTCAAAGATGTTTCTATCCATCAGGTTTTGTTTATTAGGAACAAGTCAATTTATTATTTTTATTTTTAAAAAATTATGTTTTATTGACTTCAGAGAGAGGAAGGAAAAGGGAGAGAGGGAGAGAAATATCAATGAGTGAGAATCACTGATTGGCTGCCTCCTGCACACCCCTGCCTGGGGATCAAGCACTAAACCTGGGCATGATCCCTGACCTGGTTCATGGGTCGGCCGATGCTCAACTACTGAGCTACATTGGCTGAGCAGAAACAAGACAATTTAAATCAACATGATAACACTGTAATGGAGTTATTAGGCATTGCTTGGTTTGTAGACTCCCTTCTCTGCTTTTGTGGCCACATGGTGTTTTCCTTGTGTATCTGGATCCAAATTTTCTCCTTCTTAAAAGGGTACCAGTCATTCATTAGATTAAAACCCTGTATAGTCTCAATTTAACTCAATTATATAAACAAAAGCCTTACTTTCAAATAAGGTCACCTTCACAGGTACACTAGGTGAGAACTTTAACATATCTTTTGAGGTATACAATTCAATCCCCGATGATAATACATTCCAGGCAATTTTCATTACATTGCTTCAATGAATGGATGCCATTCACTCAATGAAGTATCATTCCCTTTTAACTGATAAAAAACAAGTCTTGCTAAGTTTAAGTTACTTCTACAGAATAACACAGCAAGTAAGAGACAGAGTCTCAATTTAAACCTGGAACTTCCAGATTTCAAAGCCTGCATTTTTTAAATGGAGGTATGAACACCCCTGAGTTACCAAAGGGGTGACCAGTCCCATAAGACACTTTTTGAATAAGATGTTCCATCTTCTATGGAAATCAACTTTAATGACAAGTGACTTACAACATTATTTTTATATTAAAATCAATACATTTTGCAATGGAAACAGAGGGTTATTATAAATAATTTTTATTTCAGATACATTTCTTAAATCTTGAAGACTGATTTTTGGCCAACTCTGATGATTAAGTATTTGCTCTTTTATATCAGTCTATAGATAATTTTTATGTAAAAAAATTAAAAAAATAATTGCTAGAAAGAGGTGTTTTTGTACATGGAATGGATAATCACTTGCCAGGCTATTGTGGAAACAACCCAGAAGAGGATGCAATTCTTTAAATCTAAATTGATAGCAAACCAAAGTATCCTATTATCTGTTCTTATTAGTTGACCTGTTAATAGAAACACAGACGTAAGAATGAGAGTAAAAATTTGTAACAATTCTGGCACAATGAAGCAAACTTTATAAATTATGATGGTGACAGTTTCATGCTCTCACTAGTCAACAAATCCAGATCCATTTTATAAAAATGCCAGATTCCAATACCATTTACCCAAGGGAATTCTAGAACACATAACCTGTTTCTGGTGTTCTTTTTTTCTACCTTGTCAACTTGAGGACCTGATCACTTTTCTCATCCAGATGGCTCTTTGCTTTCTCCCCAGATGCATTCCTACAATACTTTGTTCTTCTATCTCCCCAGACGCATTCCTACTTTGTTCTTCTACGGTTAACGTTTGGTTGAAATGACAGCACCGCCTTATGGGTTCTCATTCTTTCGTTGAGTCAGAATCATTTTACTTCACTCACACTACCTGCTAGGTATCATATGACAGGCTGGTAAGAGTATAAAAATATGGGCTTTCCCTCCTGTCTCAAATATAGAAGGTTTTGGGGTTTCCCATTTCTGCTCTTGGAGTCTCTACTGATTAGCATCTATATGACCACAGTATCTAGCCCTCTCATTCTCTCTGCCTTATTGTTTCCTTCCATGCTTCAGCTTTCAAGAAAAATGTTTTTGGAGACATAGCATGAACTTCCTGGGGTGCTCACTTTCTCTCTGAGCTCTAGGGGAACCTCCTGGACACAGAGGACAAGGCACAGACTGAGTGCTTTCAGCACAGTATACTCCTACAGGCGTCATTGGGATGGGGTGCCAGGACTTTCTACACCACCCTCTTCAGGTGTAGAAGGCATTGCTGGTAGGGTGGTTTCCCAGAACTGAGGACTAAATGCTTCCTGTGGCCAGCCACTCGCAGATTGCTGAAGTTCAGGGCAAATGTAAACTTAGACACAGGCAAGAAAGAGTTTTTAGATTATGGCAACTTTCACAATCTGTTAAACAAAACACCCCAAATTTCCTCCTAACTGAACTTCCTGCGGGACATAGTTTTAAAATGCCTTGACAGTAAAATAGTGCAATTCTGAAAAGAAATTTAAAATAAAAATAGTAGGAACATTGTAAAGTTGTCCCAAGAATGACAGCAGCAAGACATCTAAATGATTGCTTAAATATTTTGATATATCATAGTCCCTAAAGATATCTATGTCACCAAGGGAAATGTACAATAAATTTCTTTTTATACAGTTTTGTGAGTTTAAAGTAAACTGTGATGACTTTCAATATGTACACTGTAACTGCAGACTCTGAAGCTAGTCCAATCATTTCAATAGAATTTGTGATAGTCATAAAGATGAAAGAGATTATTCCACAGTACATAAAGCATTCATGAAAAATTATTTGTGCAAGAAAGCTGTAAAATAAATTCCCCTTTTCCACTGACTCATTCCAGGAAGGGCGATGCATTCAAAAGGCAACAAACTTCATGTCAGAAGCTGATTTCAAAAGGCAAAAGTGTGATGTATCTGTTCATGTCCCAGTAAAGAACAAATTCTACTTAAAAGAGAATTAATGCCTTTCCTCCAGGCCTTGGAGCACCAGCCTGTGGTGCCACAATCTCTTCACAGCCTTCTTCCTCTTTCACAGACTCAGAGCTGTCTGTCATCTCTTGTGCTATTTCCCTCCTGTCAGCATCCATTGTGATCACCTTTGGCCAGGATGGAATGGAGCCATTATCTGTACAGAAGCAGGGCTCTCTAAATGGAACAGATGTTTGAGCAAGACCAAGAAAGAAAAATGTCCCTGAAAAATTATCAGCTACATTGGTTCAGATTCACTTAATAATTTAAAATATATATATTTTAAATATATATATTTTTAAATATATATATATATATATATATATATATATATATATATATTTTTTTTTTTTTTTTTTATTTGTTTCAGAGAGAGGAAGGGAAATGGAGGGAGTGATAGAAACATCAATCAGCTGCCCTCTGCACCCCTGCTTCCTCCTCCACTGGGGATCAAGCACTCAATCCGGGCAAGTATCCTGACAAGGAATTGAACCGATGACCTCCTGGTACATGGGACAACACTCAACCAACTGATCCACACCAGCCAGGCCATTTACTGATTTTTAGTTCCTGTTTTAAAACATATGTCATTTTTAATAGTCAAATTGCTTTTAAAATTCTCTAACTTTTACAAATATAAAACTAATTATAACAGTAGCCACATTTTAAGCACTGGCTACATGCGAGGCCTATATTATCTTGTATATGATTAATCCTCACAAAAAAAACTGTAAGGCAAATATTATTAACCTCATTTTATAGATTTAAAAACAAAACAAAACAAACAACAACCCGTGGCTTTGAGAAATTAAGGAACTTGAGCAGGATCAAAAAATAAATGGAAGGGTCATGATTTGAAACCAGTCTACCTATTTCCATATCTATGTTCTTTTCACTGAACTATATAGAGTTTATAGTTTGTTTTTACTCTCAAGTTCTTTAAACTATTCAATCTATTTTCATAGGCAAGGACAAAGCACCACTATTATACAGAAGAGGTAATCTGATCTATAAATTATGCAAAGGAGAAAAAACTTTTAGAATAATATGTTGAACATTCCTCTGAAATACTGTGATTAGTAAAGCCGTGGAAAAACCCATCCATTAATCAATGTCTTTTAACTGTATCTAAACCAGTTATCAAAGAAAAGCATGCATTTTTATGATAGATATTATTTTCAGAAAAAATAGCGAAAAAGCCAAAGGATATAAAATGAAAGTTATATGATCACCAAAAGCTGTTTAGATACTGGAAGCTAGAGAGCAACAAGGGTATATTACTTTTAAAGTGCATTTTTCCCTCTTAAAAACACTGGCATCATTGTTTCTTTTTCTTCTAATGGACACATTCATGTACATTGTGGTCTATGATGTCAATTAGGAAACCATTTGTATTTCTAAGTAAATAAATAACTTCCAAGCTTTTCAGTGAAGCACAATATATTTAGCCCATACGAAGTCATAAACAATATGTCAGCTGCAGTACTCTCTAGAGGCATATGTTGTTGATTTTATATTATATTTATAATAGTGACTTTAATATCTATGTAACCAGTAGTCTGTGTGAAAACAAGCAATTCTGCATATAAGTTGTTTTGTAACATTCCACTGAAAAGTAAACATGTAATTTGTGATTGCTACTTACATATAAGACTTCAGTAAGTTTTAAAATAAGGATAAAATATAAGGAAATATGCTAAAACCAATGTTAACCACAACATTATAGCTTCTGCATGGGGGTGGTTCATTTCTGGCTTCCCAGAACTGTATGGAAGAAAATGATGTGGCAGTATATAAGCCACTAACATTATGCAGCCACTC